CAGAATTTTTTGGTGGTGGGGGTGGGGGTTGAGGGGTGGGGGGTGGATCACTGCTTACTTAATTAGGTCTACAAGTTAGTTTTTCCTGTTATCAAATTTGTCATGAAATTTCTCCTGTGAAAATGATACTTAGTTCACAGTCCACACAAAACAAGGCCTGAGCCACACTGAGCCCACTGCTGAGTTTTATGGCCTTGTATAAGGAATTTTTTTCTTACTCTAGAAGCAGTTTTTATCAGCATCCATCAGGAATTGTACTAAGGGAAATGAACATGAATGTTTGCAATAGGAATCAATGCTCTATATGGGAAACCATAAACAGAGCAGGCAAAGGTTGTGAGGAAGTAAATATGGGGAACTAATATTGCCAATCTCTGAACTTTGGAAGAAAAGAAATCTGCTCAATATTTATATACTTTGTCCTCTATCTAGACAATATTTTTCTAAGTGATGACTTTACACATTTTTAAATATTTTTTCTTCATTAAATGAATTTCAAGTTTAATTTTGTTAATATACAAAATAAATTTTACCTGTCAATAAGATCTGAACCTAAAAGTAAATAACCTTTTCTCAATTAAGGGTGATAGATGTTTCTGAAGTAAATACCATGTAAGAGTTTCCAATAAAGCAATGCAACTACATACCCACTAGCTTGATTTAAATTTTTTTTTTTTTGTAAAGCAAATCTCCATTATAAGGTATCGTAATTTATTGTGGGGTAGGTTTTGTTACAGAAAAAAATTATGCTTTTCTAATACAGGGGTGTATTTTCAATATCGACTAATATGCCACATAAGCACCAGTGCTTGTGAATCTTTCTGAAAGGAAGATTCCAACTTTGATTAAGACAAACTAGCTTTAACTGTGTTAGAATTTTGCACCTTGAAACACCACCAACTTTTGCATTTATTGTATGGAAGGAAAATTGAGAAAATACATCTAGTAATTGTATTTAATGATACTGATCAAGATAGCTACACTTTTTAAAAAAAACATTTTAAGCACTGCGCTCAAAATATGATTGTTTTTCTTGAGCTTAGTTTTATCTAATCTATGGAGAATGTAATGTCTTTTCTCATCTGAAAATACATGAAGTTTGTAAGGTACTATTTAAAGCAAAGTGGTTCAATGTGTAATGTATATTCACTCTTTAAGACTCACCCAGATAGTAGATATCTCCTTTTCCAGGAAACTCCTCTCAGTGGCCTGCATGCCCAGATGAGGATCCTGTCCCCACCATATCAACCATCCATATATTCCTATCACTACAGTGTTGTTCAGGTTTCTTTAAAAGTCCATCTACCCAACTAAATAGACAACTTTAAGGCAGGGATCACATCTGATTCTTCATCACACTGTCTCTGGTACCTGAACCAGTGCTGAATATGTGCCAGGTATTTATTATAACCTTATTAAATAAGAAGTAATGAATAGTGTACTTATGAGTAAATGGACAGGGATGAATGTTCTATTTTTCACCAAGGATTAGCTACATAATAAGTCATAACAAACACCAACAGATACATGAAGATTGAAATCATACCAACTATCTTCTCTGACCATAGAATCAATTAATCTAGAAATCAAACATGAAAAGAAAGCAAGGAACCCTCCTATTTTATGGAGTTTTAATCATACATTACTGGAAGAACATTGGATGAATAAAGCAATCCAAGAATAAAAAACACCATGAAATGAAGGATAATAAGGACACAACTTTCCAGAATGTATGGGGCATAGTAAAAGCAGTAGTAAGAGGAACATAACAATGCAAATAGAGCAATGCAGGCCCACATTAAGAAACAAGAATGATATCTCTGGTTTATTATTGTTTGGTTTTGTTTTGTTTTGTATTGCAATAGCAATACAGTCTTATTTAGTCTTATGTCTTATTTAGTTCTCTTATAGTTTTCTTATAAGTGAAACCAGTCGACATTTTCCATTTTCCTGCTGACTTAATTCACTGAGCATGATCCCTTCTAGCACCAGCCATGTTGCTGTGAATGGCATGAGTTTATCTTTTTGATTGCTGAGTAGTATTCCATCGTGTATATTTACTGAATATTTTTGATCCTATCTTCTAATTTTGGGCATTCTACAGGAAAGGGAGTCAGAGGAGGGAGGAAAGTGGGGGACTATGATGATGATGGGTGGATAAAGTGGGGGTGGGG